AAAGAAAGAAAGAAAGAAAGAAAGAAAGAAAGAAAGAAAGAAAGAAAGAAAGAAAGGAAGGAAGGAAGGAAGGAAGGAAGGAAGGAAGGAAGGAAGCCCTCTGAGCTCGCCAGGTCCAGCCATCTGAATAACCTGGCCACACGGTGACCAGCACACCCGGCTAAGCCTCTGCCATGGGTAGTGGAGAGCGTGTTGGTCTTTTGGATGTTACCATGCACCTGCCTCCTGCCAGCACCTCAGAGCAGTCTGTTACCTGTTGGCCCAGGGCAGCGGCCAAATTCCCACCAGCACTGTCACCAGAAACGCCAATTCTGCCTGGGTCCACCGAATACTTCTGTAAGACTTCCGGCTGCATGAAATACTTCGTGGCCCGTACAACATCGTGAATTTGCTCAGGAAAATAAACCTTTGGAACGAGCCTGTATCTGTGAAGACAAAAATGAAGACATTTAAGGGCATCACAGAGTCTTTAAGGCCATTTGAAGTTCAAGGAGACACTGGTTCTTTTGATGCCAGAAATAAACAAGTAAGGAATTGAATAGAAAAATAAACCATTCATTTTCTTGCAAATCAAGTATTTAGTTTTAAAATACAATGATTTTATATTATCAATAATTCTTCTTCTTCTTTTTTTTTTTACTATCAACCACCAAATCCAAACAAACACTTACCACCACTACCAATGCAGAAACAAAAGGAAAAAGCAGCTGTCAATTATCCAGCTATGGATAGAACCACAGTGGATTTGGAATTTTATTCTGGAAGTCAGCATCCCATTCACAACCCCTTTGGTTTAGAAGATGACTCGGCAGCATTAACCACTTCACCGGTCATGTTTAATGCGTCCATACGGGATTCTTCATGATATACTTGTTAAATGTAGAAAAACCATACTCCACTGAAGAGGTCATACCAGTCTGACATGACAAGCAGCACATTCACTCTCTGGAAGGCTTAAACTAAAGTGCCAGTTGTCAGCTAGCTAAAAGGAAGTCAAACTGCCAGCCGGCCCAGGGCAGGCCCTCTGAGGCACCTCTGGGCTTTTCCTACTGCCCTTCTTTGCAAGATCAGAGTCCCTTTCTGTCCCTACTCTGCGTATCCATATTCCCATAAGGGTCCCCCAAAACCCTGTTTTTGTCAAATGCCCCATGCCATCTTACAAAGCCATATTTGGTAGCTCATCTTGGAGAGTCCTCTCAGTCTCCACCCTCCTTCCTTGCTTATTAGTTCTTACTCATCCTCTGATCCTTACTCTAGGGTTTGGCCTCCTCTGGGCAGCCTTTCTTGACTATTAACTCCACTTGCTTATGGGGCTGAGCTAGCTACTATTCCTTGATTACTTCTATGTGCTGGGATATATTACTCATCTTGAAATGATTTCTTCATGTATTCCCCTAAAGAGTGTGTTCGCTGATATCAGGGACTATGTTTCGTTCATCATTGTGTCTCCTGTGTTTATCAATGTGCTAGGCACATAATCATCCATCCAGTAAATCTTTTGTAAGTATTAATATACCTTCATTTTGCAAATAGAAAGCACTGAGGCACAGACAAGTTACTTAATTTGTGAATAAGTCTAACACATCAAAACAAGGCAGACTGGAAACCACTTAATTAAAATCTAATACTTTATTACATGCATATATACATAGCCCATGGACATAGACAATAGTGTGATGAAGGCTCAGGATGAGTGGGTATAGGGAGGAGGAGGTCAATGGGAAAAACAACAAAAACAAGGGGGACATCTGTAATACTTTCAACAATAAAGATAAACTTTTTAAAAATAAAATCTAATAGTTAAGAACTCGGGTCTTTTGATTTCCATTTCAAATTAGCATTCTTATGTTCAGAAACTAATTTTTCCTAAGCTACTCTATATAAGGCCATTTATCTCCCATATAAAATCCAATTATTTAACTAAATATCTTCACATTGAGTTAAATAGCCAAATATCTTCACAGTAGATAGTCAAATGGACAAATATATGTGAAATACTTTGACAAACAGAAATGTAGATCTGGTCATTCAGGAATGACTACATTAAACAACTCTAAGTGCAATAAGAAATTCCCTTGGTGATTGCCTTATAACAGATAAATTAAGTTTTCTGATTTATTTCTTACTGTTTATATCTGTGGTGATTAAGTAATATCCAAAAAGGTGATTTTTCTCCAGTTGATTTTCATTAGTCTTAAAGCTACTGCTATAACATTCCATTGGTAATAATTGGTGAAAGAAGTATAATGACACCATTTTTTCCACTAGGTGGAGACATCTCACAGGATTCTGGGAGGAGATCTCAATATTTTAACTCCAGTATTACAGCAGAATCCTTAATTCTTTCAGTGAAATAAATACAAATGCACTTTATGACTCAAGTTGTGAAAATAAAGGCTACTTGATCTCAGTAAGATTCCATATATCATGATAAACTATTTTCCTGATGACCCAGGATGTCAGAACATATTCTACTAACACACAAACATGAATTCAATTTTCAGATGTTGTTTCACAAAAGGTCCTAGTGATTTTGAATAAAGAGAAAATGGGTAAGCTAAAATAAAAAATGCTATTACCTCAATTCTTATCAGCCAGTTAGTAACTGGTTCAGATTAAACATGCTTAAATAGGTTATGATAAGAAGCCTTCCCGCCGCCCATAAAAACCTACTTCCCCACCCCTCCCTTTACCTTTGCTCAAGCTGGAAACATTCTCTAATTTTATTCAATAAGAAGGGACACTCTTTGCACAGACTGGGGACTACAGTGAAACTAGATATCGCTGAGGTCACCTCATGTAAGATGAGCCTTCAAAGGAGCTTGAAATGGACCAGAGGAGAATAACAAAAGTTCTGTTGTATCCAGACACAGGAAACTGAGAATCAGGAGGAAATTTATGAGTGGTGGAACAAAAGAAAGCATGTGTAAATATGTATTGCCTGTTTTGGTTCAAAGCTATGTCCCTGCAAAGTACTGAGAGGATTCTGCCTTTTAAAAAAAAAATTAAAAATTATAGATCTTGACTAAAAGCGCCTAATGAATTCTAGCAAATAGAGTCTCAATTTCCCCAACTCACTGCAGGGATGGATGACTCTGCAATGCCAGTGTTTGCCTATTTACTACTGTGCACACCTCCCACCAGAACAAAATTTACTATACACGCAGGGATGGGGTTTAACCAAGTTAATCAAGGTGTGCACTCTATAAGAGTCATGTTCCTGCTAGGCGAGCACCTCACCATGTGCTCGGCAGATGGGTTTCACTCAAACTCAGAGCAAGCCTGTGGGTTTAAGGATGAACATGGGAGGCTCAAGGAGGATGTGTCACTTGTCTACAATAGCTAGTAGAAGGCCAAGCTGTGATCTGAATTCACACAGATTTCAAAACCCAAGTGTGTCGTATTCCCCCTTTTAAAGTATATTATCTTTAACACTCACAGGCTTTTACTAATGTGCGTGTGTGCTCTCGTTACCCTGCCAAAGCAGTAAGTTCTCAAAAGTGTAGATTTCTGCCCAGCCGGCATGGCTCAGTGGTTGAATGTCGACCTATGAACCAGGAGGTCATGGTTCAATTCCCGGTCAGGAGGGCACATGCCCTGGTTGCAGACTGGATCCCCAGTATGGGGCATGCAGGAGGCAACCAATCGATGATTCTCTCTCATCACTGATGTTTCTCTCTCTCTCTCTCTCTCTCTCTCTCTCTCTCTCTCTCTCTCGGCCTTAAACTAGTGACTAAGGAGTGATTTAAATTACTCTTGCTACTTTTTACTTTTATTACTCCATAGTATAAGCACACACCCACATTTAATACAGGAAAAAATAGGGTTATAGGGTTTGGCAGGTAGAATGTGTGATCATTGATCTGA